CTTTGCTTTTGAAAGCTTTGGGTGAATCACTTAGTCATACTTGGACATCTTGTCAGTTTCTGACTGCAAATACAGCATGTAGTTAAAGCAGGTGAATGGGGTTAATTGATGAATTAATTGATGGAATAGGCAAAGGGGAACTGGCGAGGCTCGTATATTGAAGCAGCTCCAAGACAGAATAGTTAATAAACTTTATCCACAAATAGAGGTATTTTGCTTTCTCCCACCGACCAACCATAGGAGACTTGCCAAAAAGGTCAAGACTACAAACTAAGTGTTATTTTCAGACAATAGTTATAAATTTGAGTTACTTTTGAAAAAAGTGGTCAAAACCAACTGTAAAGCATTAGGACATGATTTCCCACCAATGATTTGTGAAGCTGAACCTTACCAAACACAAGAAAAAGTGCCAAAGCCATGCGTTGTCACTTCCTACTTGAAGGAGGATTAGGTGTAAAATATTCTCAGAGATGGAGGCTCAGAATTGATCACTGTGGAAGTCTGGATAATCTAACAACACTTATGGACAAAAAAATTTATAAAAACAACAAATCTGTTAATGCATATCAAATAGAATAACCACTGGATAGTTATTCATTGAAGAATATATAGTTGAATTTAAACAGACTACATTAGGGATTGGAAAAATTTCACTTGAGGATATTCCTAATTCTATGGTTCTCATTTCAAAGTATTCCACAATCTTATTCTTAATAATCAAACTCTAAAATCTTACCAAAGAAGCAAAGTCAGGCTAATGGCCTATAGTTTCCTGTCTTCTGCCTCTTTCCCTTCTTAAATATGGACATTACATTAGCCATTTTCCAGTCTTCTGGGACCCTCCCTGACTCCAGTGATGGGCCACCAATGTCTCTACAATCTCCTAAGCTATGTCCTTCAGAACACTAGGGTGTAGTCTATTCCATCTGTAGGATTTATCTATGTTTAGACTTTTCAGCTTCCTCAGCATCTTCTCCTTAGTGATGGCCACTGCACTGACTCCTGACACAACTCTCTAGAAGTTCTGTTAGGTTGTTGGTGTCTTCCACTTGCCCACTAGTGAAGCAATTCTGCATTTAGTGATGTGTAATGAGACCAACTTGATTAGGGAGTTGAAGGTGAAGGAAACCTTAAGGGGCAATGACTATAATATGATAGAATTCACCTTGCAGTTTGATTGAATCAGATGTAATGGTATTACAACTGAGTAAAGGTAACTACAATGGTATGAGGAAGGAGCTGGCCAGAATAGACCGGTAGGGAAGACAATGGAGGCCCGAAACGTCAGCCTTCCTGCTCCTATGATGCTGCTTGGCTTGCTGTGTTCATCCAGCTCTACACCTTGTTATCCCATCAGGGTCTTCTGTCTTTGCAGATCCACGACTCTAGCCACACAGATTCTACATGTTCTGACTCTATATCACGTCTTGTTATTGTTTTAATTTCATTTCTTACTGAAAAGGCAACCACACCCTGTGCCTGTCCTTTCTATAGGACATGTATCCTTAGATATTTAGTTCCCAGCTCTGTAATACCCACAATATCATAAAATTTCAATCTGCACTACAAGTTCACTTATCTTATATGACACATTGACTGCGTTTAATTATAACACTCAGTCCTGCGTTGATTGTCCCTCCTCCCCCTTTCTCAGTTGTCCCCTTATCTGCTGTGTCTGAATAGCAGAAGCAAGGTTAAAGAAATTTGAGAATGCTACTTGTTTCAGATTTGGGAACGTCAACATGCTTAAGTCACTAAAAGTGTTACACTTCCTGTAAAATAGCTAGGGAAAATGACCTTCATCAGCACAGGTGTAAAGTGAAATACCCTTACTGTTGAGCAGACCATTTAGGAAAAGAAAAATTAAAATTGGAAATGGAACAAAGCCAGGCAGTCATTTTTTTGGGAAGTGAGCGGACATACAGTTTATATAACCTGAACAATATTGTAATAAAAAAACAAAATGCTGGAGAAATTTAGCACCTCTGGCAGCATCTTTGGAGACAGAAACAGTTAATATTTTGAGTCCTGTAGGACTGTTCCGCAGAACACAATATGAATGCTATTGTATTCATTTAACAAGACCCAACATCTCCAATAAATATTTAGAGTAGATGAAATTGACAATAGGTGATAAGAGTTAAAAGGAATAAAAGTGACATATCTTAAAACTGCATTGGCAATTTGCACATCAACCTTCTCATAGGTGGAAAAAACAAATCCTAAAAAAGGATGAAGGAGGAGTATGCTAAACTTATCAAAGAGATTGGCGAGAAATGTAATATGTGAAGAGTGAGGCCATCTCAGCCTAAAGTGAGATTTCCATTAGTAACAGACTTGAACAAGATTATAGCGATGAACTTGAAGTAGTGGATGAAGAAAAACAACATTTCACCTTGCATTTAATAGCCATGGCAACTAGACTTAGTCAGTCTACAATAAGATGTAAAAAAACAATAATAATAGTGGAAACTTTAATGGAAAGGGAAGCTATGGGAATTCGGACATGCTTTCAGGAACTGATACGGCTAGGGTATGGTATTTCTTTGTTAGGTACATCTTGCTGAAAGTAGGCTGCATTTTGCTTAAAGCACACCCAACAATGTTCTATTGGTATCACAAAGAAACTGTCAGGCATTTTTAAGACACATGTCAATGATTTGCTGTACTGACGTTCTTCAGAATTTGAATGATGTGTGATATATGAAATAAAAAAGCAGTTTAAGATCGGAAATCAGGCTTTGGGGTCTTTTAATGTATAAGGTTAGACATTAAGCACAAGTCACAAGTGACTTTGAATTAACAGTCTTTCATGGAAAGTGCTAGTCGCATCTCAATAAATTGGGCCAGATTCTCACAGAAAGATGATTTTGCATCCAGGGAAGAAACAGACTATTTAAGAGATTTGATTAGACGGTTATCCTTGTCGCACACTCTGACTAAACTGGATGGCAGTTATGTTGTATTGAAATGGTGTACTATGATTAAATGTGCTATTGCTGAGAAAGTCTTGAGAATAAATAAAACATTAAACAAATTCAGAAAAACACAGACTAAAAAGGTTTCCAGCCTTTGGTGACCCAGAAGATATGAAGATAGTGCTTTTTTAAAGAAGTTAATCTTGCAGCTGGCTAATTGAGTATGGTGGGGTTTATCACGGTTTTGATGGGAAATGTGAAATGTTGTCTGTTGGCCTGGGAAGCAAACAGGGGAAGAAAATAAAAAAATGTGTTTAAAGTACTTATAGCTATTGAAGGACTAGCACGAGAAGCTGTAGAAACAGGGGCACATTTATCCAATATTTTGGAAGGAAATTCTGAATAAAGGGACAATCCGAGAAATGTCTGCCAATAGAATGTTATGTAGATAACTGTTCTTTTCAGGACAGCATATTTTCTGTAAACGATGTTGTTGGAAGATTTCTTCCATGCTAGCAAGATCAACGTTAGAAATAAACAAAGATTTTCAAAATAACGTGGATTAACAAGTCATCAGTTGACAACTGTTTCACACCAAAAAAAAAACAGCTTGATTCAAAAATGTTGGACATACTGGAAGAGGAACGCTTGCCAGTATGAGTCAAGAACAAGAAAAATCAAGATTTGTTTGGGTTGTTTGTGATTAAACACTTTATTTCTTTCTTTTAAAAAATAATAATGGAAGATTAATTGTAGAATATGCAATTTGACACTGGTTATGTTATAAGGCAAGATACAGAATTAGATATTTACTTTTTATTAGTTTTTGTTCAAGGATTGTTTTTACATCTGAAAAACTTTGACTCAATAAAAAGGAAGAATCTGTTCATAAAGCAAGTAGTTAAGCAGGTGATTGGGTTAATCGATGAATTAATTCAGTACGTAGACATAGGGGAAGTATGGAAGAGTGTGAAAGGAGCTGAAAGGTTGAGTAGTTAAACTATCTACAAAGAAAAATGTCTTGGTGTGTCTCACTGATTAGCTTAGATCTGATTTTACAAGGTACAAGTCATAAGGGCCCTCTTCAATTCTATCATTCTCAGCTTCCTTGCAATTTACTTCATTTGTGATGGATTTGCTGACCAATCCATTCATGGACATTTTGTTCATCAACTTGGGTATGCACCTGTCATCTCCCAATATTGCTCCTCCTAAATAATAACAACCTCCGTTAGTTACCCAAACCTAGCCGATCTTTTGGATTCATCAATTTTACATAGTATTCCCTCATTTCATACAATTTCATTCCTGTTGCCGCACAGTTGCTGAATGAGCATACACTGACCTTATCCACAACCTTCAAATGGCAATAAAACTTTCAACACCATAGTTTCTCCATGTGTCTCTTTTCCTTGCAGAAATGTATTATTTAAAAAAAAATCAAGTTCAAATTGATCCAAGATATGAGGCAGATAGAGCAAACCTCTCGTATTCAGACTGAATACAAAGTATGAAAGAAAAATCTAATCTTTCACTTTATTTTTGGTGTTTTAATACATCCTGACATTTGGAGAAATCCAGGACAAACAAGTCAGTCAATCAGTACCTGGTGTCTCAGTATAAATTGTTGTTCCCTTTGAGATTTGGTACTCTTGTGATTCTACACCAACGACAGCATTTTCTCTTTCTTCCAGCAAAACATAAATTAATGCAAGTTTATGGTGCCTGGAGGAAAATGCAGGCAGTGGTTTGTAAACTTAACTTGAGATCCTCTAAGGGCAATTTAATAAGTGCGCATAGATCAGAATCTAACAATCTGAAAATATGTTTTTGAACATTTGTAAAGTTCTGGATAACCATCATTCTAATCTTTTAGTCTATGGAGCAGAAAAAAAAATGGAATAACATTGTCGACTTAATTGTTGAGAAGTGTCAACCAGCTTTTGGAATTTTACTTTGGTTAATACACCTAAAACTGAAAAGAGCATGAACTTTAATCATTTAAAATGCATATAATGTAAAATAGGAATAATGAAAATTATAGAGTTCACTTTTATGAACATGATTTGATCCATAAATTACCGTTCTTTGACAACATGATCTAGCTTGTACACAGGTTTATTCTCCTTAAGCCTTTGAACTGTTTCCCATTCAGCCTTTCCATAGGCCTTCCGTAATTTCCGGACAAATACCTGAGAAAACAAAACCATGTATTACAGCTTTACATTCTATCAGTTTAATAGGCTGAATTACAAAATAATCATGTCGTCAGTTTCCTGTAAAATTGCTACAGAACGTGCTTTAACCACTACATCAATAGAGTTTCATAAATGAAACAGAATTTGAAGAAAATGTCAAAGAAAAAGGAACATTCTTGGATCAGAACTGCGGATGCTGTAAATCAGGAACAAAAGCAGAAGTTGCTGGAAAAGCTCAGCAGGTCTGGCACTATCTGTGAAGAAAAAAAAAATCAGAGTTAACATTTCAGGTCCGGTGACCCTCAGAACTGAGGAAGTTCGGAGGGTCACCGGACCCTCAGGTGTGTAATGACAGATCTGAACAGGTTGATTAATAAAATCTACCCTGGAACTGAGATGTGGTGCATCGGTAGTGTCCCTACATCCACGCCAGGAGGTCTGCATTTAAGTCCTATCCGCCCCGCAGCTGTGTCATAACACGTCCAAACAGTTTGCTTTAAAAATAACAATCTTGAAGAACTTCTGCATTGATGTCCTGGCACAGAGGTAATTGGCTTTCCACAATGTACCTTTGTTTGTCCAATGTCCAATCTTTGGAGGTGCAAAACCTTCCAGTTAAACATTGAGAAGATTAAAGGTACTGTCTGCAATTCCTTCTGCAAGCTGTTGCTACTGATTCCATCTTTTCTGTGGCTGTAATCCCAGGTTGTACTAGATTTTTCTTAACACCAGAACTGAGGAAGTTCTGATGGTCACCGGACCCGAAACGTTAACTCTGATTGTTTTTCTTCACAGACAGTGCCAGACCTGCTGAGCTTTTCGAGCAACTTCTGCTTTTGTTCCATTCTTGGATCAGACTTCCTTCATTTGTATTGAAATTTGCCTTCATAGAAGATTCATTATTTTGCTGTTAAAGTAATTGTGAAAACATTGTAAAATAGTATGTCAAGGGTTGCAACAGAATGAAAAACTCATCTTACACAAACTACCAGAAAAAATTCCTGTCCAGTTTAATTCCAAAATGGAATATGATGGAATGAATATCATTAGTTGAATTAAAAGACACCTTCGTATTTGAAACTGGAAAAATGGAGAGCGGTCGAAGGACTTTTCAGAAGGTTGTGCATAAAGGGATGAAGGTGATATGGAGCAGAGATGCCAGACAGGAATGTAAAAAGAAGTCTGAGAATCTTAAACTGGAGACAGAGAGAGACCGGAGCTCATGAGGGACAGCTAATTAGGACAGCACAGTGGTTCATTGGTTAGCATTGTTGCCTCAGAGCACTAGTGACTGGGTTTGAGTCCAGCCTTGGGTGACTGTGTAGATTTTGCACGTTGTCCCCGTGTCTGCATGGGTGTCCTCCGGGTGCTCCAGTTTCCTCCCATAGTTCAAAGACATGCAGGTTAGGTGGATCGGCCATGCTAAAAAATTGCCCCATAGTGCCAGGGATGTGCAGGTTAGGCGGGAGACCATGGTAAAACCCACGCAAGTTTATGGGGTGTGGTTTGGTCTTGGTGGAATGCTCTTCAGGGGGTCGGGGCAGACTCAATAGGCCAAATGGCCTCTTTCAGCACTGTAGAGATTGATAGATGATATAGGATTAATAGATCAGATAGGTTTAACATGCTCTGGTGTAATAAAATAGTGGGCGGGAGGTTGACTAGGAAGGCATCGTTACCTCAAGGCTCAACTAGTTCAAAGGCACTGTTGAATGTTTCAGCAGTAGATACATCAAATAGACAGTGTCTTCAGAAAGAAGATTACAAGATCAGAAGTTCAATTTGGGTCAAAAAAGAATGCTGGTGTTAAGAAAAATCTAGTACAACCTGGGATTACGGCCACAGAAAAGATGGAATCAGAGGCAACAGCTTGCTGAAGGAATTGCAGACAGTACCTTTAATCTTCTCAATGTTTAACTGGAAGGTTTTGCACTTCAAAGATTTGACATTGGACAAACAAAGGTACATTGTGGAAAGCCAATTACCTCTGTGCCAGGACATCAATGCAGAAGTTCTTCAGGGTTGTTATTTATGAAGCAAACTGTTTGGACGTGTTATGACACAGCTGCGGAGCAGATAGGACTTAAATTCAGACCTCCTGGCGTGGATGTAGGGACACTACCAACGCACCACATCTCAGTTCCAGGGTAGATTTTATTAATCAACCTGTTCAGATCTGTCATTACACACCTCGGGAGCAGTTGTGACTTGAACCAGGACATCCTGGCTCAGAGGTAGGAACACTACCATTGGACCACAGAAGCCCAATGTTCTATTCTCAAGCATCTTCAGCTGCCTCATCAATGACCTTCTTTCTATCACAAGGTCAGTACGGACACGTTTGTTGACAATTGCACAATGTTTAGCACCATGACTCCTCAGATATTTAAGCAGTCCTTGTCCATATGCAGCAAAAATCCAGGCAACATTCAGGCTTGGGCTGATAAGTGAGAAGTAAGTTGCACCACACAAGTGCCAGACATTGTGATGGGGAGAAGGACAATGTTAGTACTATTACTGAATCTCCTAATACCACAAAAGCGTATCTGCAGCTGAAAGGTCAGTGAAAGAAAAGATGCAGAGTAGCAAAGACATAAAGCTAACAGAAAGACACACAGAACCTTACAGAAATACAAAAAACAATTACGGGAAATTCCGAATTGCTGTAAACATACTTTTAGGTGGGTCCCAGCAAAAATGAACGAATCCTCAAATTTTTTGGAAAATTTGGGAAGTTCGGAGAAGGGGGTAATAAAAAGTGGAACTGCTTTATAAGTCCTTAATAGCCTATTGTGTTAAGTTAGTACTGTTTGCTTTAAGATTATTTTTGTTTAAAAATGTGTAATTCTCCGCTTAACTTGGTGCTCAGATCTCTTTCTTAAAGAACGTCTGACAGGATTGTAACCTTATGATCAGATAGGCAAGACAGTGAACTAAATGAGGGGAATCTCACCAAGCTAGAGGAGGGAAAAATAAAGACATTGGAAAGGATAATATGGTTACCTCTGAGGTTGCATTACCCCTCCTCTGCTTCTGCATCATAATCGCTGTGAAAGGGAATGCCATCTATCATCTTCAGAGAGGAATATATGTTTGAAAGTGGGCAATATTTGCAAGATTAGGAGGAGTCAAGAATGTGTATTTTAAGAAGTTAACGATGGCAACTTTGAAAGGGGTGACAATGTATCTTTGAAAAGGGAATTATTTACACCTCAATCTGGTGGGTTGCCTCTGAATCGATCAGGCTGATCAGCAGTTTATTGCAACTGGGGTGGAAGGAATGGGAGCAAGATTTCATGGGCAGGAAGAGATTACATGGGGGAAACTTTAGACAAAATAGAAAAACACAGTTCAGAGCAGGGGCAGGTTTGTTTTGGTGAGTCAGAGGAAGAGACTGAAATACAATTATATCCTCAATTGTAAATGAGAGGTATTGATGATCTCTCTACACTTACTATTGCAAAGGGACGTGAAGGAAAAGGGTTTAAAGCAGGCAGATGCTTGTGAAAAGATGCTGTCAGTTACCATCTGATTTTCAGGATTTTGGCAAAATAGTGACAAGCTTTGGGAAAAAAGAGGATGAAGAATAACAAGTCTTTTGGGAAAAATTACAGATTTCAATTAAAAATGTTAAAAATGAAGGTTAATGAAAAATAAACACAGAGTTTCTGCAGAGCAAAATATTTTAAACTGGCATTTACAATAAAACTACAGATGCTTTAAAAACCATATGCGATCTACAGGGCAATCCATCCAAAACCTGAGTGGACACACGGAAGAATGGACAATAAAAACACAAATTACAGCTGTGCTTTGAACATGTTTGCCTACTGTTTTCATACCAAGCCTGTACTGACGGAGATGAGAGAGCCTACTATCACAGACCCATCAGCCGATTATAACTTTACGGGAAAGAATCTCCCTACTACAAATGATAAAGGAACTGCAGGTTGCAACTTAACTGAAGACAAATGGCACAGAGAAAATCTGTCCTTAGGATGCACAGCATTTTCCAATTAACAAATTTGAAAAAAGGAAACTCAAGTAAGAAAAGTCTCGTGCTTTTGAGGTTAATTTCTTCTAAATAACAATTTTTCAACTAAAGACTGAGACAAAAAGTGATTCAGTGAGAAACCAATGCAGCAGCCATAAGATGGGAAAAGTAGAGGGTCACAAATAAACCTTTGAATCTTAACTCTGCGGCAAGTCTCCATTCAGCTCAACCACCTACGAAACACTCTTATGTCAAGTGTTTATAAAACATGCATATTCCACTTCTTACTGGAGAAGAAATGGATTGAAGAGAGAATCTAAACTTACTTTATAATCACGAAATTTGTTCACAATAGGCTCATGCAGTAAGAACTTGATATCTTTGATGAGATAGAAAGTACGTGGAGCTGTTGAACCTTTGTTAACTTTTTTCTTATGTTTAGGTTCATGAGGATAAATACCCTTCAGAATGCATAATCGCCTATTGAAAGAAATAAATAAATAAAGTAAATACGTTGAAACTATTTTGTAGAAATACAATGATTAAGCAGGAAACTACATGGCTCAATAACCCGATATTTCTTTGATGGCCTTTCATCAATAGTTGTTGTTGAAACACTGGATCACGTCTGTCTACAGAAATCTAGGCCTCCCTTTGCCATCCTCGCATTTTTGTCCTGCATCAAATCTGGAGCTCAAACCCATGTCCAAATTCACAAAGTTCCAGCCATCACACTTAAGACATATAACTTTCAGTGGCTCCTGCTCCATTAACACAGCTATTTTAAAATTTTCCATCCTTGTTTTCAAATTCCTCCAATGATGTCCTTCCCTATTTCTGTGATCTTCTTTTACTCTCCAATGTAAAATCAAGAAACGCAATTATAACAACACACATTCTGATGAATCCTGAACTGTAGTCACATCTCCACATAATCTTCAGAAATACAATTGGATAGAATATGGAAAGATGCCATACAGCCCATTGAGTTTGCACTAACCCTCCAAACAGCATCCTATTCAGGATCAGAACCCACACAATCACCCTATTAATCCACCTAATCTGCACATCCCTGGGCACTACAGGGCAATTTAGCATGGCCAATCCACCTAACCTGCATATTTGTGGACTGCGGGAGGAAACCGATGCACATGGTGAAAACTCTTGCAGACACAGGGAGAATGTGCAAACTTGACATAGACAATGACCGAAGTCTGGAATGGAACCCAGGTTGCTTATGCTGAGAGGCAGAGGTGCTAACCACTGAACCACTGTGCCATACAGCCCCTCTAAAGTTAGAAAGAGAGCAATGCAAAGACTTTGCACCTCTATGTAGTTGCTTATCCTCCAGAAGCTACATATTACTTTCTGTGAGGTTATGTAATAATTAGATAGAAATTTGCTATTTATGTAATACTCTGCTTTCTGAAAAAAATTCTTCCTGCCAAGTACGTACATGCAGCCTCAAGTCCTTATCATAACACTTTCCTATCTATCCTTCAGCAACTTGCAAATTTAGCTGTCTGTCATTCCCTGTATCTGAAGTCATTGATGTAAATTATGAAAAGCTCATCACATCCTGCTGTAAGAAAAAGTATCACTTTACGTATAATCGGTTTTCTGTTTGCCAGCCAATCTTCTATTCATGCTAGTATTACCCACATGAGCTTATACTTTGTGTAATAACCTTTTATGTGACACCTTGTCAGATGACTTCTGGAAATCAAAATGCAGTACCTCTCAAGGTTCCCCTTTATCTATAGCATATGCTACTTTTTCAAAGAACAGTAAGTTAGTTAAACCCAATTTCCCCTTCACAAAACCATGCTGATTCTTCCCAACAAAAACAGAAATTGCTGGAAAAGTTCAGCAGGTCTGGCAGCATCTATGAAGAAAAAGAAAATCAGAGTTAACATTTCTGGTCCTGTGACCCTTCCTCAGTTCTGAGAAAGAGTGTCACCGGACCCGAAATGTTAACTCTGATTTTTTCTTCACAGATGCCGCCAGACCTGCTGAGCTTTTTCGGCAACTTGTTTTTGTTCCTGATTTATAGTATCTGCAGTTCTTTCAGTTTTTAGTCTGATCCTTCCCAATTACCATGACTCTAAGTGCATAACTATGACCGTTGTAATGTCTGACTTGCACCTTCCCCACAACAAAGGTCAAGCTAATTGGCCTATCCTTTCCTTTTTTCTGCCTCCCTTCCTTCTTGAATAGTGGGATTATGCTTCCATCTTTCCAGTTCTGATGTAACCTTTCCAGAATCTAGCAAATCTTGTAAAATGAACATCAACGCATCCATTACCTTGGTAGCCACCTCTTTTAAAGACCCTAAAATGGAGTTCATCAGGAAATATTTAACGTAATTTTCTCGATAACATTCACCCTCGTCTAAACGCATAACTTGCTCGACACATTTAATAAACATGATTTTACCTGAAATCTGCAAGACTAAGTTGCAACTTCTTCCTGGCTTTATTTCTAGTAATGTAGTTTGTGGCAGCTCCTCTTTCGTACTGGCGAAAAAGAAAGTATTTTAGTTTTCAGCAAAAGAAAAATCTCAATTTTGAGCATCAGTACAGCAGCCGCACTGTAGACAGTATTTCAATTGGGGAAGGACAGAAGCTGTAAGAATGGCACAGTTACTGAGTACGAAGGCAGAGGGCACAGTGGGGAGATTTACACAGTGGGGTTGGGGGGGCATGGGTGGGGATTACTGGTTACTAGGCAGTAGGAGGGGGTGGCTTACTGGTTACCAGGCAATGGAGGGGAGGGGAGTTTATTGGTTACCAGGCAATGGGGGGGGAGAAGGGTTTCTAGTTACCAGGTAGTGGGAGGAGGGGGGGTTACTAGACTAGCTGCTAGGTCCAGGCCCGAGGCTGCCATTGGAAAAAGTCGCATTCGTAAAGCAGCCGAATCGCTAAAGGCAGAGCGGACGGCAGAACTGTAAGAGATTTTTACACAACAATTCCCGGCCCGTTACCCTCTCCTCCCAAGCCCCGCACCTTTTTTTTCTCCAGTCCACCCATCTCCAACAACTCCCTCCGCACATGGACAACCAGGAAAGACCCCCAGAACCTCGTCAGAGCTGGCTACCCCACGCCGTACTAAATAGGCACAAGTTCCGCATTCAGAAATAACGTTGCAAATTTACCTAAACAACTTTTTTTCATATAAAAATAAAACAGTGCATTGAGAAGTCAGAACTTTCAGGAATTAATTACAGGCATTTCATGGATACCTGAGTATGGCCCAGCGGGTGCCTTCCCTGTTTCAGGGAGGGGGAGGAGTCTGGTTTTTTTTTCTCTGGAGCAGGTCGTGTAGTTGAGATATTCAAAATGTTGAAGCAATTCCTTAAAGCAGATAGGCAGACGTTATTTTCTCTGGTGGGTAAATATATAATTTAATGGTTAATTAATGGACACTGTGGGTAGCTTCTTTTGTTATACGGGGTTTCTCAGGGCAGTGTCCTAGACACAACCATGTCCAGCTGCTTCACTAATGACCTTCCCTCCATCATAAAGTTAAAAGTTGAGATGTTCACCAATCACTGCACAGTGTTCAGCGCCGTTTGCGACTTCCTAGACACTGAATGTTCAAATACAAGAAGATCTGGCCCTATCCAGGCTTGGGCAAGTGACATTTGTGCTACACAAATACCAGACTATGACCATTGCCAATAAGAAATGATCTAGCCGCCGACCTTTGATGGTATTACTATCACTAAATCCCCCACTATCAACATCCTGGGGGTTACCATTGACCAGAAACTCAACTGGATTTGCCACATAAACACAGTGGTGGTCAAGAGCAGGTCAGAAGCTCAGAGTTCTGCGGCGAGTAATCATCTCCTGACTCATCAAAGTGTGTCTACTATCTCCAACAGGTATTCTATGAATGAAACAATTGATCAGCAGAGTTGGGGTCATTGGTGTCATGCTAATGGAACTGTTGTCAGGCTTTGGTGCTATAAATTGTCCATGTACCTACATGTCATACTTTCTGAGGTAAGGATGCTGGTTTGTTACTGAAAATCTCTACTCTATCCCTGTACTCCCTTTTTTTTGTATTTGTTCATGGAATTGGATGTCATTGGCTGGGCCAGCATTTATTTCCCATCCCTAACTGCCCTGGAGAAGCTGGTGGTGAGCTGCAGTCATTGGTGCATAGTGACACCCATAATGATATTACAATGGAACAGTGAAAGAGTTCCCAGGTCTTCACAGTGTGTTGCTTGGAGGGGAATTTGCAGGTGGTGCTGTTCCCACATATCTGCTGCCCTTTTCCTTCCTGGTGATAAGAGGTCATAGATTTGGAAGGTGCTATTGGGAAAGTATTGGTAAGTTACTGCAGTGTATCTTGCAGGTGGCACATACTGTTGCAGCTGTGCATTAAGTGGTGAAGGGAGTGAATGTTGAAGGTGGGTTGGGCACTAGTATTGCTGGCTGCCATGTGCTGATTGGCATTAAGCTTCTTGAATTTTGTTGGAGCTGCACTCATCCAAAAAAGTGGAGAGTATGCCATCACACTGTTGACTTGCGTCATGCAGTTAGTAGACAGGCTTTGAAAAGGCAGGAGGTGAGTCGTTCGTCACAGACTACCTAACCACTGACCTCCTCTTGTAGATACAGTATTTATATGGCTGGGCTAATTCAGTTTCTGGTCAATGATAACCCCAAGAATGTTGATAGGATATCAGCGTTGGTAGTGTCATTGAACATCAGGGAGTGATGGTTAGATCTGTTCTTGTTATAGATGGTCATTGCCTGGCACTTGTATGGCATAAGTGTTACTTTCCACTCATCAACCCAACTCTGGATGTTGTCCAGGTGTTGCCGCACATGGACACAAACTGCTTCGATACCTGAGAAGTCACATTCGATATAATTTGTTGGGTGTTCTAAGTTAACTCTCAACTGTTGTCTGAAATGGCCTAGCAAGCCACTCTGTTCAAAAGTAATTGGGAACGCATATCAAGAGAGGAGAGCCTCTTAAGGATCAAAGAGGTTGTCTTTGTGTTGAACTGCAGGAGATGGGAGAGATATTAAATGAATATTTTGCATCCGTTTTTACTGTGGAGAAAGAAATGAGGCTAGAGAACTCAGGAAAATAAATATTAATGTTTTGAAAACAGTTTACATTACAAAAGAGGAAGTCTTGGAGGTCTTACAAAATATAAAGGTGGATAAATCTCCAGGATCTGATCTAGTATATCCCAGGACTTTGTGGGACGTTAGAGAAGAAATTGTCGGGACCCTAGGAGAAATATTTCTATCATCTATAACTGACTGGAGAGTGGTTAATGTTGTGCCTCTGCTTAAGAAAGGACGTAAGGAGAAGCTTGGGAGCTGTAGACCTGTAAGTCTGACTTTGTGGTGGAAAAGTTGTTGGAAGTGATTCTGAAACATAGCATTTGGAGAAGCAAGGAATGATTAAGATAGTCAGCATGGTTTTGTACGAGGGAAATTGTGTCTCACTAATTTGATTGAGCTTTTTGAGGAAGTAACCAAGAAGATTGACGAGGTCAGAACTTTAGAAAAGCCTTTGACAAGGTTCCACATAGTAGACTAATTGCTAAAGTCAGATCACATGGGTTTCAGGGTGAGCTTGCCAATTGGATGCAAAATTGCCTTAACAACAGGAGACAGAGTGATGGTGGAGGGTTGTTTTTCAGACTGGTGACCTGTGACCAATGATGTTCCACGGGGATCTGTACTGGGTCCACTTTTGTTTGTCATTTATATGTGAATATGTTATTTAGATGCAAATACAGAAAGCATGTTTAGTAGGTTTGTGGATGAGACTAAGATTGGTGGTATAGTGGACAGTGAAGAAGGTTATCTAGGATTACAAACAGATTTTGATCAGTTGGATCAATGTGCTGAAGAGTGGCAGATGGAGTTTAAGTTGGATAAATGCAAGGTATTACATTTTGGAAAAACAAACAAAGACCAGAATTATACAATTAAAAGTAGGGCCTTGGGCACTGTTGTAGAACAGAGAGACCAAGGGGTTCAGGTACATAATCCTTTGAAGTTTAGATCACATATAGATAAAGTGGTTAATAAGGCATTTCGCATGCATGCCTTCATTGCTGAGATCTTTGAGTGTAGGAATTGCGATGTCATGTTGAGGTTTTATAGTTCGTTGGTGAGGCCTCTTCTGGAGTATTGTGTCCAGTTCTGGTCGCCCTGTTATAGGAAGGATATTATTAAGCTGGAGAGGGTTCAGAAGAGATTTATTAGAATGCTGCTGGGAATGGAGCGTTTGAGTTATAAGGAGAGGCTGAATAGGCTAAAACTTTTTCACTGGAGCGTAGGAGGTTGAGAGGTGACCTTATAGAAGTTTATAAAATAACGAGGGTATAGATATGGTGAATAGCAAGTGTCTTTTCCTTAGTGTGGGGGATTTCAAGACTAGGAGGCATATTTTTAAGGTGAGAGGAGAAAGATTCAAAGAGGATAGGAGGGACTTTTTTTTTTTACACAGAGTGGTTTGTGTGTGGAATGAACTTCCAGAGGAAATGGTGTTTGCAGTTATAGTGTTTAAACAAGTACATGAATAAGAAATGTTTGGAGGGATATGGGCCAAGCGCAGGCAGGTGGGACTAGTTTAGTTTGGGATTATGGTCGGCATGGACTGTTTGGAATGAAGGGTCTGTTTCTATGCTGTGTGACGGAATAGTCCCCACTTGCCAAGATGGGTGCAGCTGTAACTCAAGAAGCTTGACACTATCTAAAACAAAACAGCCCACTTGATTGGCACTACATAAACAAGTATCCACACCCTCCACCACTGACGCTCAGTAGCAGTAGTGTTTACTGTCTACAAGATGTACCGCAGAAATTCACAAAAGATCCTCAAACAACTCCTTCATAGCCCACCACCACTTGCATCTAGAAGGACAAGGGCAGCAGATGCATGGGAACACCACCACCTGCAAGTTTCCCTCTAAGCCATTCACCATCCTGACTTTGAAATATATCGCTGTTCCTTCACTGTCACTGGATTGAAATTCTGTAATTTCCTCCCGAAGGGTATTGTGGGTCAACCTACAGCATGTGGACTGCAGCAGTTCAAGAAAGCAGCTCATCACTGCCTTCTCAAAGGCAACTAGAAAAGGGCAATAAAATGCTGGCCAGCCAATGATGCCCATGTCCCACAAGTGAACATAAAAAAAAAATCAGTGACACTTTTGGTGTTGAGGGAAAATCAGTGAAATGAACATGCTGATAATACTGGGGCACTGTTCTGAGATATAAAAGACAAGTTGAATCATTAAGTGTCGTTGACAAGTTTTCCTGGTGTTCGCTTCTACGCCTCAAGACCCTTCATGTTAGCAGCTGTTTTAAACGTTGTTTTCCACATAACATCCTGCTTAGCATTAACTTTGGAGAATGAATCAAAAATACCTGCCATTTACTGAGCTATGTACATTTAGTAAACTGTTGAATGATACCATGCTGTTTGTTTGAATTGGCATTGGAAGGCACTGGGACAGATTTTTAAAATTCTTTCATGGGATGTGAGAGCATCTGGCACCGTCAGTAGTTGCTGTCCATTGCTAACTGCCCTTGAAAATGGTGCTAAACTGCCTTCTTATGCTGCAGCCAAGGTGATTATATTTTCAAAAGCCTAAAGGCAGGCCTCTGCGATGATTGAAATGTTGGGTAAGCAATGGAAGGAACATGGGGGGACGGGCCATTGATAGTAGGTGATCATATGATGACATCTCCCAGAATATATCCAGCTGAGTTTTGCCTAAGCAATCAAGTCATTCTAAAATTTACTAAAAGACTGATTGTGCCATTGAGTTGTCTGCTATAAACACACTTCTCTGGAGACCAAGGGTGATGGCACGGGATCATTCTAATCTGTAAAGTGATTGATTGGTGAAGGTGATATCCAAAGTCAGTTGGATTATTAAGGAGAAGGGTGGAGATGCGGAGTCATGATGGAACACCTTCAACAGGTTGGAATGAGCAGCAACTGTTTTGGTATCAGAAGAGCCAAGTAAATGGCAGGGTGCAGCATTAAACATATGAACAAGAAGCAGGAATAGACAATTCAGCCTTGCCATTTAAGAAGATCACGGCTGATATGATTGTAACATTAAATCCACATTCTCACCTCCCCCTGTTAACCTATTACCCTCTTGCTTATCAAGAATCTCTCAATCTTTGGGTTAAAACTATCCAAACAATCTGCTTCCAACTCCTTTTCAAGAACAATTCTGGTCACTCTTCTTTCGGAAGGATGCTGCTAAACTTGAAAGGTTGCAGAAAAGATTTACAAGGATGGTGCCGGGACTGGAGGGTTAGACCTAAAGGGAGAGGCTGAATGAGCTGGGACTATTTTCCCTGGAGTGTAGGAGGCTGAGGTGTAATCTTATAGAGGTTTATATAATCACAAGGGGCATGGATAGGGTGAATAGCCAAGGTCTTTTTCTGGAGTCCAAAACGAGAGGGCATAGGTTTAAGGTGAGAGGGAAAAGATTCAAAAAGGACCTGAGGAGAAACATTTTCACGCAGAGGGTGGTACGTATATAGAGCAAGCTACCAGAGGAAGTGATGGAGGCAGGTACAATTACAACATTTAACAGGCATCTGGATGGGCACATGGATAGGAAAGGTTTCGAGGGATATGGGCCAAATGCTGGTAAATGGGATTAGATCAGATTGGATGTCTGGTTGATGCAGATGAGTTGGATCGATGGGACTGTTTCTGTGCCGTATAACTCTATGATTCTAAGAAAGGTCCAAAGGTGGACAGCTCTCTGTGTGAAACAAAAAAATTCTCGTTAGTTTAAAATGAGTGATTTCTTTTTAAATAGTAACCCCTGATTATAAATTCCCCACTGGAAAAAACCTTTCCACATCTATTTTGTCAAGGACTACATATTTCTTCAAGTCATCTTTTATTCTTTTACACTCCAGATACAAGCCTAAAAAGAACAAGCAGCCCATTTCAAATATTAGTCTGATAAATATCCTCCAACTGCTTCCTT